ACTATCATTTCTTTCGACACTTCACCTTTCTACTTTTTCCCACTGGATATTTGTCCCTGCCGGTTGACTTTTATCTCGTTCAACTTTTTGTATTTTGACTTTTTCTCATCCAAGTTTTACCCCTGTCGTCTATTTCTCTCCTCCAAAGTTTTGTTGTTCGATTTTTATCTCTTCATTATATCATTATATCATATCATTCGAATTTTATCTCGCGGCTCTTTCCATTTGACTAATTGTCCGGGAGCTGCCTCTCTCACATAGTGTCTGCTGTTAACCATTGTTTCACTGGCATGACCATGTACATACCAGTGGATATGTACCGTGCAGGATGCTCAAACCGGGTCCCATTACACCAGTGTATCTGTTAGTAGCAAAAAGCATGCAAGCTCTTGGTGAACAAATAAAATGCGGGTTTTAAGTGAACCCTTCTGCACTGCAGGCGACTTAGACATGAGTGTGGACTTTTACTCCGATGGGAGAAAATGTTTATTTCAAATTTCGTCTGCAGGCGAATATGATGAGGAATTTGGTCTGCTGATATTTGCAGTAGATAGGCTGGAACATCAAGGAAACCTATCCCGCAACCACCAATGCTTATAAAAACGAAAATAAGCTTGAGGACGTGCCTGGACGTCGGTAATCGTCATTATTTATGTTTGCGATGTTAGGGATGCACCAATGAAGGCCGGTGGAGACTGACTGTAATATCGGCTACACGGCACATCACCAGAAAGATAGCATCCACTCGTTCCTGGCAGCCAGAGCGCATGGATGCAAAATCAAACACTGGGCACTTGAACTTGAACTTGAACATAAACTAGGCACTTGAAGCCTGCGCGCAGGGTCATTCATCCCTCATAGTGTCATGAGACGCGTTGACATCGGTAATATTTTCAGGAAACCACTGGAAACTTCAGTGCAAACCTGTCCAAATTCGGGGCTTCGTTTTTTATGTGTATTGTTGGACACCAGCCATTCGTGAATCATTGCAATTTTCGTGGCGAAATGTGTTGAACGCCAACAAGTGGTGAACGTTTCACGTAGACGACAGCTGCGCGAGACCTATTTCGAAATAAAGCAGGGTCTATTATTTGACAATTCACCATTTGAGCCAAGCACTGAGGAGGAAAGAGCAGGCTACACTTCGAAGCATACCGAGGCCCGCGACGCAATGTTCTATTACCGAATCAGACTCAAATTGGGATGATTCCATAGTTTGAAGGGGGCTCTGCAACATTTGAGCATTGCTTGACACGATTCTTCCAAATGTTCTCCAACAACACACATTAATATGGATAGTCTACCAAAAATCCAAATAAGCGTTTGCGAAGGGTAAGTTCTCAGAAAAGCCCGACTGCCCTCCACGTGGCATCGCCATTCAAGGCCTTACATAGAAAAGGGATCCGTCACCGAACACCTCAAGCATAAGAATAGTAAGGGATTTCCGTCACGATTGCACCTTTGGTTCTGCTGGCCCGGACAGTGGGAGTCACAAGCAGCGGGAGTCAGTAGGAGTCACAAGCAGCGGGAGTCAGTGGGAGTCACAGGCAGCGTCGGCCATGCAGACTTCTGAGAATTTCAAAGCCAGATCCGGCTATGAAGATCAGTCGGAACTGGAACTGGAAGTGGACGAACTACTGGACGACCTGGTGGTTCTGCGCCTGCGACCTGGAAAGCAAGCAAAGCATTAATTGCAGAATAGCCTGAACATATCGCAACGGAACCTTAACACGACGTGGCATAAGTGAACACTAGGTGAAACCGATCTTTGAGTTAGCCTCGGGGCGACTGAACAACAGCTGCCGAGAACTTCAGGCGCATATGAAGGAGATATGACTGTGATCGTGCTTTAGAACGTGGTTCAGCGGACAATATACATTGTTACGCGGATGATTTGAAAAGACTTGCTAGGACGCGAACACGAAAGTCTTTGGCTTGTAATCGCTCCAAATCATCACACTTTCGGCTTAAATTACTTCGGAACAGCTCCTTATCATTTCAGCCAGGAACCCCGGAGACCATGTCACTGACAAAAAAAGGTGTCAGCATGGGCTACAATTCGTTATGCGAGCTTTTGTCGTCAGCCGTGTGCAGTTAATGGCCTAGGAAGTTGACACCTAGAAAGATTTGGGCTTGGGTGCTCCGAGCGCCGGTAACCATGAACTGGCCGGCTGAAATTCAGTAAGTACAGGAACTTCCACCAGGGCCATCGATCGTTACTCCACCTAAGGATGCTCGCTCATCCTTAGTTACGTGCCAGGATGCTCGCCTGGCGCATGGGCCTGACTTTTGCCCGTTCTTACCTCCATAAGATCTTCTGGGAGGGCGGTATATCCCCGTTTGCCTCAGACGACTTGTGAAATTCCAGCGTCTTGCTCCTCACCGCGTCTGTTGGGATCGCCACGGCTCTGCCGGCCAACCCCATCAACGCCCTGCACATGCTGCAGCCCCTTCTCCATCTGCTTCAGCCCCTGCTCGTCATTGGGCGACGGAGACTGGCCACTGGCTGACTCTGACGGGCGGGACGTGATGACGTCAGATGACGATGGCGGCACCTGATGGGACTGAGGGGCAGTGGTAACCAATGGAAGACGACCACGGGTCTGTTGGCAGGGGCAATGACAGCCACTCAGACGACGACAGGGGCTGATGGGAGGGGCAGCAACAGCTACTCAGTACCAGGGCCAATTTAACATGTTGACAGGGGTGGGGGGTGGGGGGGGGGGAATAGCTCCTGTCAGCAAATCTCCCTCCCCCTCCCTCCGACGTGAATGTCTTGATTTGCCGTAGGCTCAAGACCACCAAGCTCTTTGTAACTGGTCATGCAGATCTGGGATTCGCGGTGGATGCACGCACTCTGTATGCAACCAAGCATTCTAAGGTGAGGCAGTTGTTTATAATCAAGAAGAGAAGAAAAACAAAACAAAGCGAGAGTTAGATTTCAAAACGTCAGTCTGGTATGTCTCAGACAGGTCAGACACGACAGGTTGGACAAACAGACAGTTCGGCAAATTTGTTTAGGGTGCTCCAAAACAGAATCGGTCTAATTTGGACGTGTCCGTATCTATCAGCTGTGATTCGATTGCGATTTGTGTGCTGACTTTTGGCAAGAGTATGACCAAAAGTTGCTTTTCATGCTTACGACGGTTCTGCTGGATCCCTCATGAACAGCTGCGACCGCTAGGAAAATGAGACTGGCTGCGTAAAAGTTCGACGAATCCAGCTGGCGGGTAAAGGCAAAATGTGCAGTTCCCAGCGTGACGATCGTAGCATCCCACAAGTGACACTTAAGTGCCAGTAAGATTTCCTATTATCCTGATATGTCCTGTTACCCTGGGATCTGTCCTGTACTCTGGGTTCCATCGGCCTTGTAGCAACTTGCACCCGGTGACAAGAAATCCGCGGAAAAGTTTTGGAAACAAATGTGAATTGCCAGTCGGTTCTTTCAATTTAAATTTGGTGGATCTGGGATAGAACTGACCACTCTTACGGTACCTACTTAACACTTCTTGTTGCGTTTCTTCGGGGAAAGGGGAGGGGGCGTCGGGTGGGCGAAGACGTGGAGACGATGAGGCAGTCATGTCTCTAACCCCGACATTGTATTCCTGACTCTGTCACTACCGCCACAAAGCTACGGTACTGCACAGCTCTAATCTGCTGTACAATTCACAGCCGGTCGATTGATCACTGCTGTAATATCTCCAATAGCGTCAAATATCGCTGAATGCGTTTTCTATAACAGGTATATCAGATTTTCACAGGATTACTTCACGGTATAATTAGGCTATCACAGTATTCGATTTGGGCAGTGGAGTCAATAAGACGACCGGAGGGACTAGCCAGTGCAATGATGCAAGTGGCAGACGACCGGAGGGACTCGCCAGTGCAGTGATGCAAGTGGCAGACGACCGGAGGGACTAGCCAGTGCAATGATGCAAGTGGCAGTGACGGGCGCTCAGACAATCACACGATCTGACGAGGGCGGCGCTGGGACCAGTGGGCTGATCGCGGTGGTCTTTCAGACGGGCCACGGACGCAGAATTCCACACGGCCTGTCGAGGGAAGAAATAAAACACAGCGCATCTTTTCTGATTGATTCGACGTCAATTCACCGTGCTAGTCCTGCCAGTGCGTGACGTTTTGCCTCCGTATGACAACATGAACGTCACGATCAAGACTTTCCAGACAAAGCAATGGACTAGGCAAAACACAGCTTCGTGTTCATTCTACCGGCAGACCGAACGCTCAACTCAATTTCAGGTGTCTAGCAATGTAATAGAAACCTAGGTAAAGCCGAGCCCATGCTAAAGTACACACGCACTCTTAAATAGCATTAACCCACTGATGTGCATAGGCAAACAATTTTTGGATTAACTGGACCAAATGAACTTGTATTTAGCAAGATGTAAAAGTGCGACGCAGCAATCGATGTGTGCTTACCGAACGAACAGGCCAGCAAGGCCAGGACCAGCAGCTGCAGCAGCATGGCGATCTGGGGGTGGATCTTCGCTATTGGTGAAGAAACACTATGTGGCTAGAGGTGAGAGACGTCCGGGCTTTATAGTCGTGACAACAAATTCCTGTGCACCTGTTTTTACGTCTGCGTATGTATAGCCCCAGCACTTTGAATCATGCCAATTTTTTTTCCCATTTCGCATCTGTGCAACGCACTCTCTTTGCGACAGCGAGAACAGCACTTGTCGATTTACTAATGGGGTTTTCGGGCGGGCCAGCTGCTGGGGCCTTTTTGCGCACAGCGAAAACAGTAAGCATGCTATAAACATCATAAAGCGCGCGATAATATCAGATGTCGAAATGAATAGAAAAGTCGGTCTGCAAGCACTTGTGTTCTCAGGCGAACACTTGAGGCCTGAGCTGTAAGGTGCGCAAGGTGAACATTTCGCATCAAACTTTGTGCAGTGCTAGCCATACCACACAACTTGTGGAGGCATGAGCCCTCGTCAAAAATCGATCATTTCCTGGCAGCCCGATGGGGTGTATTTTATTCATTTCTGCATCCCAGCTACATTACAGCAGTGACGTATTCAGAGGAGGGGGCACAGGAGGCACGAGCCCCCCCCCCCCTTAGGTCACAGTTTGAGAGCGAAGGACTGGCCGTTGGTCGTATTATGGGGTCCAGCTCTGCGTGCAGTCCATAAATGTCACTCAGAGGGTTCTCTGCACCGATTGGTTACCCCTGAGTTGACGAGAGCCCCCGTGTCGATCCGGCACCATTAGTACCGAACCACCGGCCCGGTGTCGGTCTGGGTCGGCGGGCCCATTTCCCAAGCGGGGGCAAGGCCGGGGCTCACGATTTGCATTGTTGGGCTCCTCTCTGGCGGTCAGGGGCCTGCAGTGCCGCCTAACTTGTGCTTGCAATGGCACTGACCATATTTCTGGCTTCCCAGACGCCTCAATTAGCCAAAACGTTATCAGTGTCCTTGGCGGTGCTGCTATCAATGGCGGGTGAAGTTTTCTTTTGAATTGTGGGCTCCTCTCTCTCTTTCCAAATATGCTTGGAAAAGAATGGAATCCGGGAAGCGCCCATTTCTTGGCGTATTATCACTGCACGGCCCTCCTCGTCTCCAACGGGTAATCCCAACCTACGCCCTGGCCCTAGCTGTTGTTTTGGTATTGTTTTATTTGAGTCATCTCTTTTCAACCTTAAATTATTCGCAGAGCTGAATTTTTAAACAAAATCTGAAAAACTAACATCATATCCAAAAGCGAAGCTGATGGAATGTCCTCAGGTTTATCAAAATAGCCGGTAAGCCTTGCATTGCAAACGGGACTTGCCAAACAGGATGAAACAGTGCATTTCAATCTTGTCGTTAACAATACGTAGGCACGCTATCGCACCGTAGCCCCGTAGCTGAAAAACCGTGGCTCTTCTGTGACACAATTGCCTCATAATGGGAAAGAACGGTGCAACTTTGAAACCTCACATCGGACAGCAGAGGGAGTTCGTTCGTCCACTTGTTCCATGTGGCCTGCAGCTCGAGCGAGACCTCGTTTTCCCGGTTCGTTTGCAGTCTGGCCGGCTCCTAGGGAAAGGCATTCCCGTGACCATAACAGGTACAGATAAACCGATGGCATCGTACATAGACACTACTACGGCCAGCATATTCCTTGGTGTGCGTGTTTCATCCAGACTTACAACCCCAAGGCCGATTAGGTCGGCTACCACCTCCTAGCTTACACACAAAAATCGTTCAGCACTCAAATTACCTCGGTTCAGGTTCGGTTCTTGGACCTGCCTGCCACGGACTTGTATTTTGATGAAAGCCAGAACTGATCTGCTGTTGCTGACAAAAATCAGCTTGAACCAACCCCGAGCACTGTGCAGTTGAGTTGGTGTGCGAGTTCCTCCGTCTCAGTTGACCAGAGGCAATCGTCCACGTAGTACTTCTCCAGAACTGCATACACGATTTCAGGATGGTATCCACCAGGGCTAGAAGGGATGGCCTGGTTCCTGACCGCCTCTGGGATGGAGTTCACAAGGTCCTCAGACAGCACTAGTCTGACCGCCGACGCTGTCAAGCGGTAAGGTGCTGACATCCAGTACGGCACCATCTGACCAGTGTATATCCAACGAAGGATTGAAATACACGCAAAAGTCGTGCACATGCCAACGAATTCAAGTAAACAGGCATCGCATCACGTATCATTCTTGCATGCAAGCGATTTCAAGTAAACGGGCATCACCCATCATGCATTGCTACTACTGTATGCAAACGATTCCATTTTTACAGGCATCGTGCATCACGCGTCAGGCATCACTCATACGTGCAAACGTTTTCAGGCTAGCATGCATCACGCATCAAGGCATTAATCACATTCACATAATCGGCCACGACGGGCCCTGTGCGTTTAGGTCTAGTCGCCGACTTCTTAAAAGAATGGATTCACTTATTTTCCTGACTGGATAGCCCTGTGCTGTGTAGATGACTTGGATTGGTTGGTTGAATTAGAGCCCTTTCAGCCAGAAATGCTCATTTGAGAGCTTTGAGATGAAGGGGGAGTGGATGACGATGGGACAGGACGACGTACGCCTGGGGGGCCAACTACCGAGCCTTGGCCCGCGCAGGGACCCCTCTGAGGGATATGCACTGGGCACCTGGTCGGTGTCCCGGACGAGCGGGGCATCGCGAAGATTCAGGATAAAGCAAGAAAGAGTATAGAAGGTCGGATGAATGACTTAGGAGCTACGTTCTGGGCTACGTAACACAAGAAGTGATGCATTTTTCCTAGTTATTAAGCAATTAAGACTTGCAAGTAAATTATGTAAGAACAACGCAATAGCCGAGTACGTGAATACAAGCAAGCATCTTAAACTTACGAACAAATGCACAAGAACGCCACGAGAAAGTTGTAGTATTGAAAAAGAACGAAAAAGCCATGACACCACCACATGACGGTATTTGGCTCAGCTAACACTTCCAGCCCGTGGTGTTATCTCACGGAAGATTCAACGTTTAACAAAACGCGGTACCTTGACGTTTATTTTATTACCAAAGAAATAGGACAAAGCTTGTGTCTTATTGATGCTCATGATGTATAATTTTGTCGTACTTGGAAACGCTAATTATTAAGGTCAAGGACCCATGTCACACAAAACACAGTCTCCGAGAATTTATTTGTTTACTTAGGAGACACAACAAAATGGGCACCATAGCGATGAGCTTGATGCCCACTTTTGTCATTGTTGGAGACAACTAAAATTCAAGGTGAAAGTTCAGCTTCATACAAAACGCCATACCTCGGTGTTTACCATGTTTTATGAAAAAAAAACACTACAAAAACTGTGTATGTTGAGTTGTGTGATGTCCGCTTTCTTCACACGTGGAAAAAGCAGCTGTCAAAGTCACAGGTGAAGGTCGATACGAAATATGAAAAATAGGTACCGTAGTTTTGCGCGCAAGGTATGCGCGAAGACGGACATCAACAACACGAATGTGATACGACTTTTGCTGCATTTCTGTGGTGAACTAATTAATCACTGCGTTTGTGTGACCTTTAACTTAGATCCTGAGTGTTATTTTTACAAGTGTGACGAAAGCAGGCACCACGACCATCAATATGACAAGAGTTTGGTTGTCTTTCTTAAGTAAACGAATAAGTATCAGGGTACCGTGTTTTGTGTGACCCTGACTTTCCACCTTGAGAGTGAATTTTTCCAAATACGACGAAAGTTGACGTCCTTATAATCTACAATACCACTTTGTTGGTATTTCTTTGGTAAATAAATAAAAGCCAGGGTGCTGCGTTTTGTTTGCGACCTTGACTTCTGACTTCTAAGGCATTTCTCCATGAGTGACAAAATTGGTCTTCACTGGCGTCTTTATCATTACCCTGTTGATGGATTCATTTGTTTAACGAACAAAAACCAAAGTAGCGCGCTTTGCGTCACAGAGAAATTCTTTACCGAAGAAACACAACAAAATGGGTAGCATAAAAAGGCTTGTAATGTCCAATTTTGTCACACTAAAAAATTCAAGGCCACAAGTCAATGTCACAAAAACCGCAACTTGGCATTTATTCGCTTACGTAACAAACACAACACAATGAATAGCATATTCATGCCCGTGATGTCTGCCTTTATTACACATGCAAAAGCTTTCAATTAAGGTCAGAGTGCATTATCACGCAAACAGTACACACGCGCACAACAACAAAAACAACACAGTTTTCCACTCACTCACGATGGCTCCCGATTCGTCGCGATTACGCCTTGAGTTATGTTGGCCCGGGCAGTGAGAGTCACAGGCAGTGTTGGTCATGCAGACTTCTGAGAAATTCAGAGCCAGATCCGGCTATGAAGATCGGTCAGACGAACTGGAGCTGGACGAACTGGAGGATTTGCGTCGTCGAACTGGAAAGAACACAAAACATTAATGGCAGAAGAGCCTCAACATATCGCAACCGAACCTTAACACGACGTGGCCCGAGTGAACACTAGGTGAAACCGGTGTTTGAGTTAGCCTCGGGGCGACTGAACAACAGCTGCCGAGAACTTCAGGCGCATCTGAAGGAGATATGACTGTGATCGTGCTTCAGAACGTGGTTCAGTGGACAATATGCATTGTTACGCGGATGATTTGAAAAACTTGCTAGGATGCGAACATGAAAGTCTTCGGCTTCCAATGGTCTGAATATACTTAGCCCCAGCACTCTGAATCATGCCAATTTTTCCCCATTTCACATCTGGGCAAGGCATCACATTTGCGACAGCGAAAACAACACCTGTCGATTTACTAATGGTGTTTTCGGGCGCGCCGGCTGCTGGGGTCTTTTTGCGCACAGTGAAAACAGTAAACATGATATAAACACCATAAAGCGCTCGATCGCAACAGATTTCGGAATGACTAGAAAAAGTCGGTCTGTCAACACTTGTGCTCTCAGGCGGACACCTGAAGCCGGAGCTGAAATGTGCGCACGATGAACGTCTCGCATCAAGCTTTGTGCAGTGCTAGCCACACCACACAACTTGAAGAGGCATGAGCCCTTGTCCAAAATCA